AAGTACTACTGGATGCAAAGTTGAGCTTGTTGCTAGAGTATTTACTGCAATGGAATTAAATATAGATGTTATAAAGACAGCAGAAGAACAGGAAAAAAAACTTAATCAATCTTATACGGACAAGTTAAAAGCTTTTAATCTAATTGACCCAAACTCTGTTCCAATGGAAAATAGAAAAGACTTTCTATCTGAGTGGCCTAGTATAACAATGGGTCCATCTTTCTTCAATCCAGTGCGGTGGGCATGTTCAATGTCGATATTTTTCAGCCCAAGTTTTTGCCAGAAGAATGTGTGAACTTTTTCTTAAGAAACCCCCTCCCGCCCATCCATGGTTATTGCCCATATTCATCAATTCCATCGATTCGTAGGTTATTTCCTCTTAATCTATCTTCCAGGTTTCGTTGCTTTTCCTTCATAAATTTTTCTACATAAGTATGTTCGAATTTTTTATCTAGTTGTTTATTGTTGTTATGAATTTTCTTGTCAACTAGTTCTTCGTTGTAGTTTAGGCTATCCTTAATATCTTCCGATTCCATTGTAAGTTTTTTACTTTTGTTTGCATTAACGTTGACGTTTAACTCTGCTTTATCCATTCTGTCGTTAATTATTTTTATATTAGCGCCAATAATATCAATAATAGTTTTCTCTTATTTACGAAATATTTCCTCAGTTTCTTTTTTGAATTCTTTAAACATTTCTTTTAACATTTTTTTTATTTCAGAAAGTGTTAATGTTATAGTATTGTATACGCGATAAAATAGAAATTGTTTTTTTAGATTAAATTTAAATATTTTTTCAAATGTAAATGTATTTTGTTTTTTTAAATTCTCCTCGTGGTAAAATCGCGTCCGCTCTTGTTAAATGCTTGCGTCGAAAAAATTCTTTTGAAATATATAGTCGTAAAGTAGAAAGTTTTTCTGAAATTACTGCAATTATACTTTGGGACAACCTACATGTTGGTGGGCCACAAATCCATAAGTTTGAAATTCTTCGGACAACACCCAAACATATGCAATGCATATAATCTATTAGAAACCCACTTACCATATTATAATTTAACTTTTTGAAAGGAGATATTGCAGTATGGTGTTCTGAATCATGTTGATTTAAAAAGTCTATAGTAGTCCTTAGTGGAGCAGATAAGTCAGGTAAAGCTATTTTTTGATACCACTTGCCATGTTTAAAGCACTTAACAAATGAACAAGCTGGTACATCATAAATGAAAACATTTCATTTTATCAATAAAATCTATTAAATAGTTATTGATAGAATTTGGTTTACAAGAATTGGAAATAAATTAAACGGAAACACGTTCTATTCAAACTCTAAAAAAGAAGCCAGAATCGGCCAAAGTGATATCTGACCATTTTTTTAGATCCTCATCTAAGATATTTTCGTTTGTGTTTAGTTCTTCGTTATCAGAATCATCATTAGAATGTGCAAGCCAATCTTGGTTGTCATAAAATTCTGTAGTATTGTTTTCCATTTGGCATTCTTTCATGCTTAAACCATACAAACTTTCATCAACTTTATTATCCTAAACAATTTTTTCATGAATTGATTTGTTACTAAAACACTTTTTGCCGCCACCCCAGCAATTTTTCGTTGTTTCGTTCTTTGTTAATTCATGACAGTTAAATAAAGAAAGTTGAAAATTTTACTTTACTTTTAAAAGGAACATGCCAGATATTTAATAGGCGCTAAAATTAGTAAGTTTAAGAAATTTTCATGCGCCCGGGCGCATCCAGGAAATCCCATAAGAGACCCAGATAAACACCATTGAAAAATACCAGATTTACCCCGACCGGATGCCCAAATTAAAACCGTACGTGTCCCGTATGGGTGTACTTGCTAGGATTGTAGTGGCAACTATTTTTTGTTTCAGAAAAAATTTATTTGCTTAAGAAAAAATTGGTAACGATTTTTAGGAGAACTTTTGACTTATTATGCAATTCGTTGAAACTTTTTATCAGCTTTAGTCTCAACAATTGGTAACCTCTTCTCCCTTATATTGTTTTTATTTAAGATTAGTAGAATTACTATTTGTAAATATCCATAAAATTATTTTTCAGAATATATATATGATGATGATATATGATGATTATAAACACAATATAAATCTGCCATATATTAAATTCCGATGTTATGAAGCAATAATGGTTTAACAATATGCGTTAAACCTGGGTCGAGATTAACGGTAAACTTTCAACATCGCAACAAAGTTTTTAATTTGACTGTTAAAAGATAAAAAATGGTTAGTTTTTAATTTTAACAAATGGGAAGAGTTAATTGTGTAATAAGAGGCTGCTCTAATAGTACATATAAAGCTAAGAAATGGAGTAAACAAGTTTGTGAAATCCATTGTCCTCTAAAACGTATGGAATGTCAATGTGAAACGCCTGTTAGACTATATGCTTTTCCAAGTAAATTGCGAAACAGCGATAAAAGAGAAATATGGATAAAGCTGACAGGTTTAAAAGGTGCAGATGGAAGAACCTGGGAGCCAACTCCTAGTGATGGAATATGTTATGAGCATTTTGTTGATGGAATACCTACTTGTGATAATCCAAATCCAACTTTAAAAATGGGAGAAGGATTGCCACAAAGATATCGTAGGCAAAAATCCAAATGTAAAAATGATAAAACTCAAATTCGACATTCTCTCGAAGTTTTAGCACAAGTTGCAGCAGAAGTAGAGTTATCAAAAACTGAAATTGATTATCAGAAAAATATTCTTGAAGACCATGATTATATTAATATAGGTGTGCCTGTTGATATTGCAGGAAGCTCTTGCATGTCTTGTCAAAAGTGGAAATGTTTATATCAAGAGTTACTAAGAAAAAATCAAGCATTGCAAATGACAATTTTAGATTTAAAAAAAAAGCATGAAAATGTTGTTTGTAATGAGAAAGAATAAACGGATTGTACTTTAAAAAAATAAATTTTGTTTGCTTGTAAGTTGTGCAAAGTATTTTTAAAATATATATAAGAAGTTTTCACATAACGGGTGCAAATAAAATAAAAATGTAAAAACTTTTATATTGCCTAATAAATTGTTGTTAAATTATGATTAATTAAGATTTTCTCAAATTTTTACAAAGAAACAAGAGAAAAATAACTGTTGTTTATTGGGTAGCAAAAGATTATTAAAATATTAAACTGTAATTTTTTGCTATAGTTTTTATGAAACTTGTTAAAAAGTTGTGTAAAAATTTTACAATTGATTTAGTTAAGAGTAACCATATTATATATTTTGTAAAGAGTAATACAATTTCAATTTGTAATTATAACAAAATAATACATGTATTGTATAGCAAATGTTAAATAATACTACAATAATGTTGTAATAATAATAATGAAAATAGTTTTTTAAAGGCATCATAAAATATAAACCAGATTAATAAGATCAGCTAATTGTTTTTTATTATTGTAACTTTTTTTATAATAAAATAATACGAAATTTATATTCAGTACGATGAATTGCAATGGGTGTATCTGATGAATTTGTACTTTTATTTTCAGTTTTACTTTAAAGTTGTTTTGGAATTATACACTAATATTATACTATAGAGTGTTTATGTAACAAATAATTATTTTATTTTTGTTACATTAATTTTTACTGTATTTTTAAAAAATAAGAAAATGTTTAGAAAAACAAAAGAAAAGATTGCTTCTCCGTGCCAAACCTTCAGTGGATTTAGTGGCTCTCCCTTGTGACAGCAGGCTATAAGATATATATATATATATATATATATATATATATATATATATATATATATATATATATATATATATATATATATATATATATATATATATATATATATATATTAGGGATGTGGAGTTCTAAAAGGACTCTGGTTTTAAATTTTTTGTCCTGGTTTCTGATGTCCAGGAGCTCTAAAAATAATGAGTGACTTACGGTCTCAAAATATATATATATATATATATATATATATATATATATATATATATATATATATATATATATATATATTCTATAGTTTACGGTTAAGAAAATGTGTTTGGGGTAAATGCATTAATTTAATTGTTGGGAGTAACTAAACCCCAAAAACGCAAATTTAAAGACTAGAATGCTTTTATTTTTTAACTGTAAAACATTTTCAGAGTGTTATTACATTGACTATCTTATAGTCTGACTCATATTGGAGTGCTGCTACATCGACTGACAAATAGCCTGACTGATATATATATATATATATACATATATACATATATATATATATATATATATATATATATATATATATATATATATATATATATATATATATATATATATATATATATATATATATTTGTATGTATATATTTTTTTATTAGAGAAAGAAAAGCGCTCTTATATTGTATGTATAAAGTTCAGTTTTTATAGAGTCTTTTTTCTTTTTCAGCAAAACTCAACGCCCTGCTTATCAAAGTCTGTTTCAAAGTTGCAAGGTATGAACATGTTTTGCTGTTATAATTCTTTATATCTTTCAAGTTTATTTTTTTATTATTATGTTGAGTTTTTTTTTTAAAACTTTCCAATCATATTGATTTTGTCACACATGTGTTTAGTTGTCAGGTCGCCACAGAATTTTCCTTGTTTTTCACAGCTAATACCTTATCATCAACTGTTATACAGACTGTCTTTGGGGGCTAAATGCTACTATACATAGCGCACTAGATTTGTGTCAGGAGTATTGCTTCTATACACAGTGTACTAGAATTGCATCCGTTTAAACCTCATCATCAACTGTTATACTGACTAGTCTTCGGGAGTTAAATGCTACTATACACAGAGTACTACAATTGTGTCAGGAGCTTCTCATGAATGTTTAGAGAGTTATTTTAGAACTATTTTGAACATAGGATGCTGGAACAGGCTGACTATTAGGCAATTTTAAGCAGCTTACCATAATATCTTATTGTTGTTGTCAGTAGAAACTATCAATTCTAATAGTAATTGTCTGATTTTAGATTTTAGTGTGATATTTGGTATTAACTCTTTGTTTGAAGATGCACAATAAAAAACCAAATAATCTGAAGATTTTTTTTTTCATTGATAAAAATAATCATTTGAATATATTTTCTGTTACAATATTTATAAATGAAATGTATTTACAAGTTCATATAGATTTAGCTTGTTGTCAGTGTCAACAGGGTGAAGCTCATGAATTGATTGATCAATTGTTAGTATCTTTTAAAATAATGAAAATCTGCTCTTTAAACTCTATATTTAAAGATCACTTAAAACATCTTTATACTTACAAAAAAAATAGTTCATATATTTGTCATAACAAGAACTTTAAATCTATTAAATTAGTTATCCATTATTTCTGTCCACAAAATAAAAAATATTTATAAGAGTATAGAACTTTTTTTTCTACATAAATAGTTTCTGTTTTCTAATATTAATAATAGTATTGAATAATACAGTTTTTCTTTGGTTTTATAGTTGTTTTACATTTTTTCCTTTAACAATCAGCATTTGGTGTGTTCTTGTTTAAGTTTGATTTTATTTGTTAATGTTTATGAGTCTCAGGTATTTTAATACATGGTGAGGTGGGAATAAAATGGTAGATAGGAGTTTTATCACAGACCTAACTAACAAGGATCTTTATAAACAGGTAGGTAGGAATTCAGAATTTTATCTTTATATGTGAGTTTATATTTTCTAATTTTTAAAAATGGTTTACACTCTAATTTTTGTAAAGTTTTGAGAAGAAAGTGTTTCTTTGTTGATAATTAATAAGCAGGAGGGTCCTAATAAGGTGTTGTTTATAATAAAGTGGGAAAGTTTTCAGAAAGTTATTAAGTTTCCCTTCTTAAGTTTTATGCACTTGAAAATATGTTCATGCTTATGTCAAATGAGAATGTTTTGCCAAAAATTGCTGTGTTTGAAAGGTGGAATTTACAACCCTCTCATTTTGGAGAGGAGACAAAATTTAAATGGTCATAGATGGGTTGCTTTGTGTGCCTTTTAAAGCTTTTTTTTTGAAAATTCTGGGTATTTTTTAAACAGAGAATTTACTTTCTTCAATTATAAGTGCATTTCGCTTCCTTTTTCAAATCATACCTGATAGTTTACTGTGTAGTTGGTTGTTCTAATCAAATAATTCCTGTGAGTAGACTTAAATTTTATAAAATTCCTTCAGAAAGTAAGTCTGAAAAACAAAGATTATGGTTTCTAGTAATAAGGCACTCAAATTGGTCAGAAAGTTAAGTAAAAAATACAAAATTATGCAGTATTTATTTTTTTCATAGTAAATTTTTAAATTATATATTTTAATGTTTTGAAAAAGTAGAGTTATTTAAAATAGATTGAGGATAAGCTTTGCTGTATTTTAAGTTGTGGAAGGAAAATCTTTCTGTCGAGTTACTCAAATAGCTTTGCTGTATTAATAATTTTCAGTATTTTCGTAGGAAAGAAGCTCTAGCCCTAACTATGTTCCTAGCATATTTTTCTTTTTCTAGTGATAGTTATCACCATTAAGTTACATCATGATGGTTAAGATAAAAGAACAGAGGTATCAGATCAGAATATAAACTCAATCAAACAAAATGAAAAGGAGAAAATAATTAACACATAACAAAAGGACAAAAATACTGATCTTTTAAATGTAGCAGATTTTCAAGTTGTGGATGGAAATTCTTTCTGTCGAGTCACTCAAAAAGGTACATTTTTGCACCTAAAAAAGGAAAACTCAAAATGTTAACTTTTTTATCATAATTTTTTTTTCTATTTTAGAGACCTATATAATACTTCAGTTTTTGTCTTTTTATTTGAATTATTTAATCACTTTTACATTTTTCAGGTATCGAAAGTAGAAAAGAAAACGCAAATTCAAAAATATCGACTAAATAAACTTTATAGTTATAATTTGGAAAAATCTAGTACTCATTTTGGTTTTATAAATTAAAAAAAAAAATCAGAAAAAAAGGTTAGGTAAGTTTTAGGTAAAAAAGCTTTGCCTAAAAATTTATTTGAGTCTTACCAAAAAGCAGCATGTATTATTGATTGCACAGAGATTTTTATACAAAGACTATTTACCTTGCATGCACGAGCTCAGACTTGGTCAAACCTTATAAATATCATAAACCATAAAATATTTAATTACGGTTACTCCTCATGGAGTTATTTTTTATATTTATGGAGGAAGAGTATCACTTAAGCAATTGACAAACGAATGTAGTTTTTTAGATTTTTCAGACACAGGTGATATGATATTAGCTGATCGAAGTTTTACGAATAAAAAAAATTTTGCAGCGAGAGAAGCAGTGTTACAAGCACCTAGTTTTACACAAAAATTGCAGTGATCAGCACATAAAGCTAATTATTCACGTAAACTTGTTAATCTGAGAATACATGTTAAATGAATGATTAGTCAAAAAATATCAATTGCTTCAAGCGGGAGTACCTTTATCAGACCATAAAACTATTATGAGCAAAATGTGTTGATGTAAAACATTTTTCTGCATGTTTTCATTTATAAGAAACGTAAATATTTTATTTTTTAAGTTTTAAATGTTTGGATCCTTTAAAAATGGGTATTTTAACCATAATTAGATGAACTTATGTAAGTAAAGTATTTTTTTTTTAAAAATGGTTTTAAATGTTATTACAACTTTTAAGTTTATTAAAAACTTCTTTAGGTTTAGATAGACAGTTAACAAAAAAAAATTTAGATATTTTGTCTTGATTTTGAGAAGTTTTAATTGTCAAACTTACCTCTCTGCTTAACTAGCCCTGCTCTACCCTGCAAAATTATATCGTTGCACCCATGTTAAACCAGTTGAACTTATCAAAAACTTAAAAGATTTTATTGAGGCATATTTGGAATTGTAACGTTTTTTTAACGATATTTGATGATTCGAAGTAAATTATATTTTTTAGAAATTCAGTCATATATGCATCTTATAATATGACTGTAAATTTAATAATGGGGTGGTTGCCGAGATATTTGTATTGTATTTTTATTGTACCCAATAGCATCGACATTGGTCCACTCTTAATTATTATAGATTACCAGGAATAATTCGATTCAACGATTTTTGGAATAAAACAAGGGGGTGGCAAACTTCAAAACCTACTGAAAAAAAATTTTCCAAAATTTAAAATCACAGAACTAAAATGTATCATATGCCCGACTATATTTCAAAAAACAGACTAACTTGAGAAATGTCTTCTCTGAAGGGATGGGGGTGAGGGAGGGAAAGAAGAGAGAGAGGTATTAAGTATTTGCTTGATAACCCTGTTTAAATTTGAATGTCTGTGATTTCCAATTGCAATTTTGGTGTATAATTGCAACTATCATCAGTTTATGGGTTGATAAAGAAAAAATGTTCTTAGATTCAGCTTTAAAATCTGCAATGCGAGTTACAAATGATTGTAAAAGTTTTAAAATGGCTGCATTGTACTAAAACGCAACACTAGTAATTTTACTTTCAATATAATAATGTTCAAATGTTGGAAATAGATAAAAAAAATTTCTGTGATTAACTGTAAATAATTTTAAATTAGCCTTAAACGCATTAATTTAGTTGAATAATTTTAAAAATAAAATGTTTTTACCTTGCAAGTTTGTGTTCAAGATATTTAGGTAATTTGTTATATCACTAAAAATGCAAGGTCACATTTCAGGCTTTGTTTTTAAGAAAGTCGCATTTTAATGGTAATTCCTTTTTTGCTTCCAAAAATTGTAAGACTTTATTTTTTTAATTCAAATAACCTGGTTAACATTTTGCCTTTTGAGATAACTATCAAACAGAACAATGTAATAAGAGTTCTCCGCGTTTATTTTCAAAATATGAACGAAATTCTCGTCTATGACGTGCTTTTGCTCTTATTTTGTTAAGGGTAGAGGGGGAGGGGTAAACAATTTTTGGGTTTTTTAATAAGTAAATAAATATAATCAAAATATATATATATACAATAAAGAGGTGAAAAAAACTATATGTCCGTGGAACAAAGAAGGCGATTTAAACTTGTCAGCACCGTTTTTGTATATAAAATATACACATTTTTTTGATGATCTTTATTAAATGTAAAGAATTAACAGACAATAGCTCTAAAAAATCCTCCATATAATGTTTAGACAAAGCATGGTAACAATTAAAAATTCTAATAAATATAAGAGTATTGCATAGATAAGCATATCAATAAAAGCAAAAAAATTCTAATTTTGCTGTAATTTACTGAGCGTATTGTTATGGTAAACCGACGCGACACAGTAATAAATAACGCCAGCAATTTTTTTACTGACGCAATGTATATAAATAGTAAACGTAGCACATACAAAAAACTTACAACATTTATTTAAAGCCAAGTTTATTCTTTAAACAGAAACATGGAGTAGTCTGTTATCAATACCAAACATACTTATACTTTGATCTTTGGTCTTTTTTGCTGCAGTTTATTTTGTCTCTGTGTACTCTTAACATGCACAAACCAGAAAGAAGGTCACTTGACATTGTTCATCTAAACCATGTTTTGACACAACGCAATATGTTAAACAATCGTTCCACCGTACATGTTGTTGCTAGTAAAATTAACACAAACAAGGTATACCTGGTAAAGTTAAACTAACAAGGCATATATGACACTTTGATAAAATTGTGTGAAAGGCAGTTTATCAATAAAACTCAAAGCTTCATTTTCAAAATTATCTATGTTGATTGCTTTATTAATTATTGAATTTTTTTCTTCAAAGTGTTGACGATCCGGTTTGCACAACTTAAACAGATGAAGAAATACTAAGTTAAATTACGCACTATTGGCTTCACAAAATTGAATCTCCAAAGTTAGAGAATCTAAGTTTGGAACGTTAATTGTTTATCTAAAGAACTCTTAACACTTATGATTCCAGGATTACTTTAATACTTTTGTCTTCCACACTGTTTTGGAATTATCCGTTTAACATTCATATTTTGTGCAAGTTGTACTGTTATCTTAAAAATAACCCTGAAATAAATATTGGAAGTTTTACTCTGTGAAGTTTTACAACACTGAGTCATTTTTGAATTTGCAGTTAGACTTCTGAAAGATTAACTTGAACAATTTGAAGAGTCTGAGTAACTGGTTCAAGTTTGACTGAGTTCTGCAAAATAATATGGAGACAAAATATGAATGTGCTGGACATTAATGAACAATAAAACTGGTGGCGCAACTTGTCCTGTACTTCCGTTTGCATGCATTGAAAAATCTTCCAGCTAAAAAAAAAATCTTTAAATTTACTACAAAAAATTAGAAATCTTTTATAATGTTTGTCCATCTTGTCTCACATAGAATGGTATATTTGGAACAGAAGATCTTCTTTTTAGGCAATTACGAAAAAGTAAAATAGTTGCTTTAATAGTTCTAATAGTATTTTATATCACAGCAACATCATTTAGATCATTAACTTAAAGATTTGGTCTATGTGAGTTACACTGAACAAACACGGCTTTAGGTTAAATTCTTTGAGTTTTTGCCTGAACACTGTTTTTTTTTTTAGCAATTGTTAAGGAGAAGGTTAAATGTTTAGCAAATTTAAAGAACTCTTTTTAATTTAGGTGAATATGATAACTATAAATTATACTGAGCCAAGAATTCCTGAAATGTTACCTTTAAAATCGTAGGAGGATTGAGGCTGTTATAGATTAGTTAACAAGCGATACTTAAAATCAATAGGTGTTTTTGTAGTGCATTTTACAAAGAGTCTTATGTCACATTCTAATCTAGAATCTTCACTTTTAAGCTTTCTTTGGTTCTTGTTCGAGTGTTGCTGATGATGATAAACAAACAAAATGATTAGTTTTTGGTTTATTGCATTAGGTAAAGCTGTTTCTTCAATATCAGGTGTCGACTGCTGTCTGACAGTTTTTAAAAATTTCCCAATATCCATGACACCTAAAAGTAAAAAAAAAAAGTTTACATTAAATTTTAATTAGAATAAAATCATACTTTTTCATGTAAAGACAGTTGAAACAGTATGACAGTTTTTGCAAATGCTTTGTACTTATGCCAGTTCGCACTTATGCTAATGTTTGCAAATTTATTCGGCATACTTATGCCAATTTGCACTTATGCCAGTTTGCACTTATTGGTTTTTGTAACTGATTTGCGCATATGCCAGTTCGCACTTGTGCAACTGCCTCGCATTTATGCCAATGTTTGCAAATTCTTTTGCACTTATGCCAATGTTTGCAAATTCTTTTGGCGCACTTATGCCTACTTGCACTTATGCAAGTTTGTACTTGTGCCAGTTTTGATATGGGTATGAACTGGCGAATTTCATAACTGCGAAGCAGTTATGAAATTCGCCAGTTCGCAGTTATGAAATTCGTGCTGATTCAGTCGTTCCTTCCTAGCACGTTTAGATTTTGAAAAAACTTTCGCGCGCTGAGTACCATCAAATTTTTTTTTTTTTTTTAATTTTTGTTTAAGATTTGATATAACGCAAATTTATTTTTTTTTTTTTAAATATTACTCATATAGTTTTATATTTCATAATATTACCCTCAAATATGTTTTTTTTTTGGGGTAAGCCACTAGAAAAGTAAATGTTTTAAACTTTGAAATTTCTGTCTCAAAAATCTTCACATTATTTTTACTGTATTGAAACAGTTTTGAGCAATATTTTTTTTTCTATAAATAAAACTGACACATTATTTAATTTGACCAAAATCGTACAAATAAGAAATTAATTACTTTTATTATAAGTCTCTGTCTTTTTAAGTAATTTATTATTTCTGAAAAAAACCAGGAAAAAAAAAAGAAACGTTTTAAATATAACTCAGCTTTCCATTTAATCAACAATGGAGACTATACTCTTGCCCATTCACTTGATGTTGTTATTCGTATGCAACGATACTCTTCATTGTTACTGCTGCAGAATAGTGAGAACCTTGGTTCTTACTATTCTGCAGCAGTAAAAACTTTTGTTACCTCTGACAGGTTCTTGCAGTCAGACTGCAAGAATCTATCAGAGTTAACTAAAGCTTTTACAACGAGGTTCTCACTATTCTGCAGCAGTAACAATGAAGAGTGTTGTTGCTTACGAATAACTAATTACTTTTATTATAAGTCTCTGTCTTTTTAAGTAATTAAGTGAATGAGCACCATGTTTCACAAATAATTCACTACCACTGTTCCCTGGTGGCTTGTTCAATATCAAGCGAAGTGCATTATTATATGCAACACATAGACGATGAAATGAGTCTTTTCTTCAAAAACACCATAACTGACATCCATAGATTGGGCTGCAAAAGACATTAAATAACATGATCTTTGTTTGTATTTGTGTAGAGCTGAAATTTCTACGGATGAGGTTCGCTTTAGCATACATATAACGCACGTGTTATAAAATATCTTTTTCACCCTGCATATCGTTTGAGAATAAATGACTTAGGTATTTATATTGAAAAGTGTATGTGAGAATTACGTCAGATAAGGTAAAACGATGGCTATTTACGAGGGGTTCCTAATATTGTTATAAACTATATCATGTTTCACAGCA